CAATTAAAAGAATGTGGAACAGCACGGCATCTGATGAATCTCAATTGATTTCTGTAGTTTAAATGATGCGACCTCTAATCCTGCTCTCCAGATAGATCATTGCTGATGGCTCAGAGTCAGCACGCTGAAAGTGCCTCTCTCTGCAAGAAGATGTACTCAGAGGATTATAAAATAACAATAAGGATAATCCCAGACAAACAAAAGAGGCAGTGAAGCCCCTGGGTTTTGGTGTTTAGCTTCAAGCGGGCTGTTGCACTTTCTGTTCTTTTCTGCTAATTGTGATGGTGAACAATCAATTCGGGACGGGAAACGGTGACCAGCAACAAATTCCAGAGGATGCAATTTGTATCTTTCAGACCTGGACAAGTCCTGAGGGACCGAGGAGGAGCACTGGAGTTCGAGCTCCTGCAAGCATCACCTACTCGTAGGGGAGCTCCAAGACCTTGCTTTGAGCTTGGCCTCCGATTTGCCTCCTGCAAGCAGCACAAAGCTACTCTGTGTGGGGTAGTTCTTCCTTTTCTTTTAAACGTGCTGTCCACTTGGGTTGAGGGGCCTCAACCATGAAGTGAAGCACATCTGTACAAAAAGAGTTGCTGTTGTCTTCCTGCCTTCTGGCGAGGAATAGGAGAGATTATTTTGATGACGAGAAGTCCTGGTGAGGGATGTTAATCCCTCTTTGCAAGGGAAGGAGGCGAACTCTGGAGGTGAGGTGCAGGATGACAAACTGAGGTTCTGCACGGGACAGGGCTTCTTTCTGCACGTGCTGCCAAAACATGGGAACACAGAGGCACAAATAGTTGAAGGGTTTCTTTGGTGAAAATCTAGCACTGCGGAAAACTTGCACTGAAAGGAGACTTTAACACCTACTCTTTCCCCACTGAAAATGTGTAAACCCCCCCTGGCAGAGGAAAAGCGAATTCCCTTTCCAGTATCTTGGAGGAAAACTGACCCAGGGAGGCTGACTCCAGCTGTAGAAGGGATATTCTCTTTTCCACTATCCGTTTTCTGTCCCCCTTTGCTGAGGCTGCTAACCAGAGTATGAGTTGGTGCAGTGGGAGGGAAGGATTCCCCTCACGGCCCCGCACAGATCCCGCGGGGATCTCTTTTCCACTACGCCCCTGCACAACTCCTGCATTCTATCAGCAGTGGCTCAGCCGTGACTCAAACACTATTGAAAATAAATAATTTCCTGATGGGGAAGATTTCCATACCTGTTTTCCAGGTCTCAGGCTGCAGCGATGGATGCGCTGCCACTCACCTGCCCCTTGGGGCTTCAGCTCAGCTGCCTGCACCTGAAGCCACCAGCCGAGGCTGGCCGGCAAATTGCAGTGTCAAGGCTTTGATTAGCTGCTTCGTTAACAGACCTAATTTCCTGGTGTGTGGCAGTTTCTTTTGCTGTGAAAACAGTCTGTGGAGGAGCACAGCTCAGCCTGAGCAGAATGAACATCGAAACTTGTGTTTTGTGCAGTGTGCACACCTTTCTTCAAATAAGAAATGAAGGAACAATGTTTCAAAGCCATAAACATTTTGATTTAATTAGCATTTTAAATAAAAAAGTTAATTTATTTGGGATGGTTAAGTTTAATTTGTGTCTAACTGGAATGTTATGGTATTTTAAATGGCAATTGATTATTAAAAATGTATCAATTCTTTTGAGCCCTAATAAGCATGAGACTGATGAATATTTCACTGCAGAGATGCTAAAGCCTCAATAGATGTCTTTAATAATCTCAGTTGGTGTTTAACACAGAGGAATGAGCTGTCATTTTAAATCTAAAGGAGACACATCGATCTGCAAATAATTGTGGTGGTTATCGCATAATACTGAAATGCCAGCTGATTTTTTCCAGGTTTGTTCTCAACTATACCCTGACTAATTAATTAGTAGTATACCTGCATAAAGAAGCCACCTTCCCGAATCCCTATTAAATCTTAATTTCCAAGGCGGCGAGGGCTAAGCCTGCGAAGCATCAGTGCTGGAGGTGGGAGAAGCAAGCATCTCTATCGAGACTATGCTGAGAGGTGGCGTTGCTGTCATCTAGAGGGCAACATGCATTGCTGCCTCCCGGCAGAGCTGCTTCATGCGACCTTCATCCAGCGTGGTGCTGAGCGAGGCCGAGAACACTGCTGGGCTCCGGGTGGAGGGGAAGCAGCCCTCCTGCCCTTGCACTGCGGCAGCGCTTTGCTCTTTTCTCCCCTGGCCCTGGCTCAGCGAGGCTCAAGGCAGCATCTGCCTTTCTGAATTATGAATGTTTTTCCCAGCTGCACCAGGCAGTAAGGATTTTATCTGATTTTTTTGTAGGAAGTCCTAATTTGGGGAGAGTGCTGGACATATTCCTCCCATTTCCTGCTATTGCTCTCCCCTAGGACATGCTACTTTATCACTGAATTCTGTGTACAGATTAAAAAATGCTTTTAAATACCCAGTCAGCTCTTTGGGGGTTCTCTGGGTTTTCTTTTTGCCTTTTTTTTTTTTTTTTTCTGAAGACATTACACATCACCTTGAAGTGGATTGTGGCGAGCTTCTTTGTCTGCTCCGCACGCGTAGGTGTGTGTATGTATCAGTGGTGGATGACATCAGGCGATTTAAAAGTTAATGACTTCTTTTCAAAGAAAACCTCCATCTGGGTAACAGAGCACGTTGTTTTCCTTAAAAATGAAACTTGAAACTTTAAATGGTGAGTTCATCTCTAAATGCTGCTAAAGTCGGTGTCTGGCCAACTGCATTTTAAAGCCTGATTCTGGAAGTCTTCCATGCAATCTGTCATTCAGTCAGCTTCCTTGTTATGCTTGGATTTGACGTCAGGTTTGTGTCTATAACACAGCTCCTGATTGACAAGAATGTTATTTTATATATGACTCTGAATTCATATTCATGTAGAACAGGATTTTAAGCCTCTTTCTGTGATTGGCAGTCTCTTTCTAGGAGATTTTTTTCTCCTTGTTAAACAATACTATATATTCTGTGAAAATGAGGCATGGAAACGATGTCAGTTTGACACGGTTTTCCCTGTCTCATTGAGGCCAGGCATCATTCAAGGTATTTCTCATCCAGGTGGTGGCCAGGACTCACTGCTCTGGGAGAAATATTCCCTGGGGAAAGCCCAGAGCCCGTTCCCCAGCCCTGCACAGAGCATTTGGCACCGGCTCCACGCCCAGCTCCCAGTTCCTGTGATTATCCAAAACATTGGAGTATCCTGCATCTGCACAGTGATGTCAGGAATCTCATCTGGCAGGATTTCCTCCCAGCTTCCCCCTTCTGAAAGGGATTTCTGCTTCTGCCATCCTCCAGCAGAGCCAACACCTGCCTGCTCCTTCGCTGCTCAGAGCTTTGCTTAAGGCATTCCATGGCCCAGGGCAGATCCTCGGCTGCCCTGACATGATTTGGGTGGAATAAAGGTGGTTTAGTGACTTCTCACCCAACAATTTCACCAAATTTCATCAAAACCGCCCCTCTTTGGAAGGCTTGGCTTGTTTGGTTTTGATTTTGAGAACACTTTTCTCTCTGATTTGCTCCATTTTACATTTCTTTTCCAGTTTCTGGGTGGATCAGAAAATGCCCCAGTGACTCTGGGCTCACTGGGAGGATTGGACCTGTTGGGGGAAGCCATCCTTGAGTGATTTCTGCAATGACAATAGAAGGTCCATTGCTCTCAAGGCAGTGTCCACAGCTCTGTCCCCCTGATGTGTCTGTGTGTCTGTGACTGAAGAGATCTACCAAGAATCAGCAGGAAAAACTGCTGTTGGCCCTTGCAAAACAAGTGCTTTCTAATTGCCAGATGTCCTCAGGATTTGGGTTTTTCTCAGCCCCAGACCTCCAGTTCTGGCGTGATGCACGTCCTCCTGCCAGCCCAGCGCGCTCCCTGTGCTGCCACCCAGGGACGCAGAAGGAAATGGGTCAATGGGTTTGCCAATTAAAATTTCAGGAAACTTCATCCTCCCCGATGCCAGCTGATGAGAAGCAATTAAAAATTAAAGGTACCGATGCTTTCACATTCCCATGGTTGAACCTCGCCTGCCTTCCCCGAGCATCCCATTATTGCATTAATCTGCGCACTGAGGTGGAAGGGAAACGGCTCCATGTGACCAGAGGCAGCAGGTTGGTGTCCCCTGCTGCGAAGTGGCCCCAGGGACCCCTGTGAAGCTTCCCAGAGCACAATCAGCTGCCAACCTCCACGAGGTGCTCATAGCAGGAGAGGTGCAGGGAGCAGTGCCGGGAGGTAATCCCCTAATCACCTGCAGGAGATGACTCTCTGATAAGCAGATACAGCGGCTGAGCAAGCAAGCCGAGCTGTTAATCATAACCGTGCTCTGATGCGCTTACAAACAAGCACTTGAGCCATCCAAGATGTGCAGAGGAGGAGGTGAAGCAGCCCAGAGAGAAGGCTCTGCTCGGTCCGAGGGCTGCCACGGCAGGATGCCCAGCCTGCTCCCACCGCCAGCCCCGGACAGCGCTGCCCAGCCATCCTCCCGCAGATAATGCCCTTCCATTTAATTTTATGTTACAGACATCACAGCATCAATCAGGCGGCTGTAAACTGGTAGAGCTGCTATTCATTTTGTCTGTAAATCAGGAGTGTGTGGCACGACTGAAGTTACGCTTTTCATGTATGCATAAAATTAAACTCGGAGCCATTGGCAGTCTCGTTAATATGCTGTGTTAAAGACAGATGTCTGGATTGACTAAACTCCGAACATAAATGAATAAACATTGTAATAAGGTTTCAGCTCTGACACTCCACTGAAGCCAGTGCAGGTAGAATAATTTATACCTGTTAGAGGTTTTTCAAGAGCAGAGGAGCACACCGGCTATATTATCAAGTGCCTGCTGTTTATTTGCCAGTCTGCCCAAGAGACCCCTTGGAATGACCTTCTCCTCCTTGGTACCATGCCATGCTTGTAGTCCTGATTGCGTTGTGATTGTCTAGGTATGGACATCACCTAGACCCTGATGTGAGAAGTGTTCCCTGTTTGCCTTTGGAAAGGCAGTTACAGTGAAATACAGAGCCAGGCAGGTGCCTTCAGCTGACTTCTGCCAGCCCAAGACTTGACTCACGTGCCCGAGGTTGTAGAGTCTGAGATGCGAGGTAGCAAATTCGGAACAGACAAAGTGGCAGCTTTCCAGGCAGCCTGGAGCAACGAGGCCATAAGCAGATTGCTTTCATATGTTTGTGATGCCCTTGGCTGTTCTTGCTCATGGAAAGGGCTGACCCATCTCCACCCTTCCCGTGCAATTCATTAGAGGGAAGCTCCGGGTGTCTGCTCAGTGCATCGGTGTTGGCGGAGATTAATGGTGGTTGTGACAGAGCAGTGAGAGCGAGCAGGGATTGATATAGATGAGTCTGGTATAAGCTTCTGTAACTGTCAGGGCAGAAGGCAAAACCTGCAAATTTTGCTGAGAAATTCCCTTTTCTCTTGCTGAACTCTGTGATTCTCAACCACGTGTTTCCACTGCCCTGTCAGTGGGGAGAGTGAAACCGAAGGCCCCAACCTGAGCAGCGTCTCTGGCCCTGGCTGCACCCGGCAAGAAGTTCACAAACTGAGCATTGTGTGGTGCATCAAGAAAAATCAGGTTTACATGAGAGTTGACCATGGGCTCAGGATGGAGCAGGAATCCCAGGTGGGTGATCTGGCTGAATGGCTGTGCCCAGAAATGTGACCAGGATCAATGCCAGGAACTGAACAGAGTCTGCAAGGAAGCCGGGAGCAGCTTCGGGATCCCGTGCCCCGTTGGCAGGGGCAGAGACCTTGGATAGGCTGAAGGAAAAGCGATGATCAGGGTGTTTCACAAGGTTTGTGGGGTCTAGGCTCAGTCAGAATAAAAGCTGTAACCCTATCGGTGCATGTAGTTGTTCAGTGATCCGCCCGCTCACCTGAGGCCACGCTTTGCCAACCATCAGTATTTGTGAGAGTGGCACAGACTGTGAGTCCTCTGGGTGCTGCTACCTGCTGGCTGCAAGCTCCAGCCACCATCTGTACCTGGCAGAAACTTCGGTGTGCTGCTGGAAAAAGCCTGAAGATGGACCAGCGAGCCTCAGGTGCCCTGGTGGGAGGGTGTCACCATCCCTGGGAGATGACTGGAGACACTGGGATCCTGCATCGGACTGGCAGGCCTTCTCCAAATAAAAGCTGTTCCTTCCCTGCAGGTTTCTGAAATGCCTTCCCTGGGCCAACCCACGCAGAAAGAAGAAATAGAGAGGTAGGATGGCAAACGCATCCTCAGATGTCCACAAGGTAGGCATCTACATCTGAGCTCATCCTTGAAACTCCCTTGCTGGTTTGTAGGAAAAAAAGGCATTTTTAGAGCGTGATTCATTGACCTATTTTAGACAGCTCCATAAGGACAAGATGAATCACCCTCATGGGTGCCTGTTTCTCTCCATTCACGGAGGTTTTGGATGGCTGGCGCAGATTAAGGCATTTACACTGTAAACCACGAAAGGGAGGTGTGATGAGGCATCGTGAGGGGGGTCCTGTGGGGTCCCCAAGGCAGGGGAGGTTGGAGTGGCCCCAAACCTGTGTCACAGTCCTCACCTCATCTGCAGATGGGGGACAAATAGTGTCCCCTCTGCTGTTTGTCTATCTTGATCCTCAGCCCAGGGGTGAATTGGGATCTCAGCTGTTGGCACTGCTGCTGGCATGGGGCCTGCAGCTTGTTTCAGTCTCCTGTGTGTCCCCTCCGCTGTCCTGTCTGTCCCTACTCCCTCTTGGTGTGAGCTGAGCACCTGACATGGCCAGGCTGCTCCTTGAATTGTGGTTCTGCCACAGGGATTTGCAAAACCAGGCTGGAAATTAAATGCAGACATGCATTTCTGGTGAGTTCCTCCTGCTCAGTGCGTCTGGGCAGGTTGGAGAGGTCTTAAAAACATTTTTCCTTGGGCATTTTGGTGCTTCCAGCCCCTGCTAGTGCACAGAATGAAAGAGGATGAGGTATTTATGGATAGAGCCGCCCTCCCTCCTCCGAGGTTGGGTTCAAGTCCTGCCTGAATGTTCATATTAATCAAGCGCTAGCTGCACACATAACACCTACCACCTTCCACAGGAGAAACACGAATTCATTAGTAGGAAATGTTAACAACTGAGGGAGTATTGTTTTTGTACTGAACAGCGACCAAAACAGAAAATAACGGAGATGTTATAATTTAGCCTTGGCAACGGGGATTATAGTTTTGGCCCTCCTCGTGCCCATGAAGCCATTCCAGCCCAGCCCCATCATCCAGCCCTTTGCCCAGCAGGGTTCCTTTTACTTTTGCATTTAAATAATAACCTTTGCTATATCTCCCCAGTTTGGCAGGTCAAGAAAGGGTTCTTTTACAACAGTTTTCTTACTGCTACAGCCTTGGCACAAGGAAAAGACAGGAAATTGGTTTTAGAGGCTGGTTTTGATGGACGTGTCCTGGACAGGGATTTTTTTTTTTTTTGTGCAGTCGGTTGCTGGAGCTGAGCCGTGTTTCTGTCACTGCTGTTTCATGCAATATTTTGTCAATCTGAGGAAATAAAAGCAGAACTTCTGTGTGCAGCACTGCTGCCCAGCAGACCCAGTGCCCCTGCAGAAAGCCTGGGGCTATTCAGACCCATTTGCAATAAAGTTATGGGGTTTCTTCCATCAAATCATTGGGTTTTATTCTCAATGGCAAGGTCGTGAAGAAGGCAGCAGATCAAGAAAGCACCAAGCAAGGCCAACCCAACCCCAGCTAGAGGTCTCCAGCCATTGCGGAGGTGAATCTGGCTTCAGAGCAGTGTGTCGAGGACCAGCCTGTGCCCAGGCTCTCTGCCAGCAATTGCAGAGTATAAGGCCATTCCCCAGGCTTAATCAAGGCAAGATTTTAAAAGCTGGTCTAATTGGAGGTACAGAGCCAGCTTGTCTGAGCCAGTTCCACCTCTCGCCCTCCTGCACCCACCCCAGCCCTCACATTTTCTCCAAGTCCTGAAACCAGTGGAAACCCTGGGTAAGCAGCCCAAGAGCAGAACAGAACACAGTGAAAACTGCCTCCTGCCTTTGATGTGACTATAAAGCAAATATCGCACCCACGAAGGAAACGGAAGTGACAAGGCCTTTTGCTGCACGATTTGGAGACGTAACACTTAATACAGCGCTGCCAACTGATGTGCTGGCTGGGGCTGCTCGCAGGTGTGAATTTGGAAAGCTGGGCACATTAGTTCAGTCGTATTTCATTACGTGGGTTTTGCCAAGACAGGGCTTTTCCCTCTGTCTTTCACCAGCAGGTCCCTGTGCAGTGTGGCAGGAGGTGAGTGGGAAGAGCTCTGAGCAGGATGGGGCTGCCTTGGTCGCACGTGCCCAGGGATGCCCCACAAAGACATGGCAGAGGCAAGAGAAAATGAGGGAAAACTGGGCATTTCTGGGCAAAGCAAAGCACACCAAACTCGCTGCCCTTCTGCTTTTTATTGTTCCTATAATATTTTTATGGAGAACAATGAAAAGTGAAAAAGTTGTGTTATCCAGTTGTATCTTATTCATGCTGAGATATTTTGATTGAAAACCTTTATTCTTTGTCTTGTGTACAGCTTTTTTTCTTTCACTTGTTTCCTCTGTTTAGCTGATGACATTTTGAAAATGTTTCCTTCTCTCAAACCTATTTCCTTTGGCTGGTCACCCAAACCTCTCCTCCTCTTCACCTTTGCCAAAAAATCAGCTGGAAATATTAATTTTTCATTCTTTAGAGGTTTTCAGGTTACAGACTTGAGAAAAAGCAAGGAAAAAAAAAACCAAAGATTTTTCCACCCATCCTACTTTGCCCTTCACAGTATCTCAGATGGCAAATACTCTCATTAAATCCCACAGGATAATTAACCTGGCTAACATGAGAGAAAGTGGTCAAGTCCATAAAGGATGGACCTGCCTCATGGCTGGTGCCCACAATTCTGAAACAAACCTTATTCCACTCTTGGAGCAAATTACAGCAGATTATCTGTGCTAACAGTTGATTACCAAGAAAAGGATTCCACAATTTGGAATATTGCAGGTAGTTGCATTAGTAAAGAGCTGTGTACTAGTCTGATATTCTTCACTTATTCCAGTGAAACTCTGCCCAAATATACTTCAATAAGGCATTGATTTTATTTTTTTTAAATATATATTTGCTTTTTAACTAGCAATGAAAGTTACAGTCCATTAGGATGATTGTTGTGTGAGTTCAGTATCTCAAGGGCTATTAATGCTGAAGCACAGTATGGGCAAGGGTGTAAACAATCATTGGTGGTATTTTTCTGGCAGAAATCCCAAGAAGCTTATAATAAAAACAAGATTTTAAAAAGCTTTTGAGTAAATCAATTTTCATTCTTTTTCAGCATTCCTTACTTAAGTGAAATTAAGCCTAATTTGGGCCAAATCCGTGATGCTAGGCTTGAAACATGCTTTGCAGCTGGGGTCACTGCACCCTGCTCTGCACTTCCTCTGGGTGAACATCAAAGCCTGGGGCTGGAGAGCAGGGGCTGAAGCCAGCTGCTGAGATCAGACCAAGACAAGGCTGTGCCTGCACAGGGAGGGGATGTCTCACTGCCCAGCCCCTGCAAACAGCTCTCCAGGCACCAGAGGGTTTCTGCTCCACGAAAGCTCGCCCCTCACTTTAAAAGTGCTTCATGTGATAGCAGTGGCTAGATGAAAGGCACTGGTATTTCTACAGCAGAATCCAGGCAATTATCTTTATAAGTGTATATGCTCATATAAACGTATTTTCTCTGCTCAGATACACAGCTAGGGTGTTCATCAGAGACCTTCCTGTAATCAAAAGACTCCTTACAGCAGTGACAGGAGGAGCTGAAGATGCTCCCACAGTGGGTCTGGCATTCAGGCCTCCTCACCAGCACGCTGAGCTGCCCTGTCCACCCCTATGAAAATCTTCTCATTAAAGCAAGGGGCAGCTAATAATAAGCTCATTTAGCAATTAGCATAATGTGAAGGGAAATGTGGGTGTCCTTATTCCAGAACAACTCTAAGCAAGGGAAAAAATCCCAGCTTTAATTCCAATAAGATTAATTTTGCATTTTAATTAGAAAGATGAAGGGGAAAAAAATGGAGCGAGCATGGATTTCATCAGTAGCTTATAAAGCATTGTAGAAATTTGGCTTATAATGGATTTCTTCCTTCTTGTTGGCAACAGCTATGGGGGAAGCATTCAAAAGGAAAGAGTTCAGCATCTTCTCGAGAGACTCATGCATGCTGCACTTCCAGCTGCCCACAGACACATTTTTAAACTGAAAAATTCACCCTAGTAGAGATCAGCCCAAGGAACCTCAGAGCAAGTCCAGGCAGGTGTTTTCCCTGCTCCTCTGAGGCCTATAAAGCCCATTTTGCAAACAGATGGGAAAAGAAACCTCTGGAAATCACGCAACTATACCTTTGACAGCAAATACTTTGTGAGTAAACTCAGACCCTTTGGCTTGTGTTGGGCAGCATCTCCTCCCCCCCTCTCCCCCCGGCCTCTGCTCAAGGACAAGCACTTGCAGGCTGTAGAGCAGAAATGATAAAACTCAGCAAGTAAAGGCTTTTCCACTGTCTTGAATTAATTACTACCTTAACTGCTGGCCAAAAGCCTTGCCAGGGATCTCCAAAGGCTCCTTCTCCCCTTTCCCACTGGTCCTGCATTCCCCCACCCCTTTACTGAATTCTGCTCACTTCCCTCTTGAAGGAAGTCTGGCTCCTTCCTCATTTTCCTTCCCCTTGCTGCTGCTGATTCCTTTTCCTTTCACCTTCAGGACATCGGTAAGAGGAGCATGGACAGCAGGGCAGGGCTTGGTGCTGGCCTTCTGCTGCCTGGGTCCATCCCGCAAGCCCCTGGCTGCCTGCAGCCTTCCAGCGGGGCTCACTGCAGAGATGATCCTCAGGGATTTCTGCGCAGTGTTCCAGTGAGTCTTTACTGAGTGTATGAAAACAGCAATTTTTCTGGAGACTATAGCTTGGTGAAATATGAGATGATTTTCCCAGGGACAGCACAAAGCACATCCATGACACAAGTGTCATCCCTTGCCAGATTCCAATAAAAAGACTGTAGCTTGCTTTATAGATCTGTCAGAATTTGGTCATCTTCTGAGGATGAGCTCGAGTGGAAGAACACATTAATTTCTAAAATATAATGTATTTATTGTAAAGAGATTTATTTGAAGGGATAAGAACCTGATCAAGACTAACTGTTGGAAAGTATTGTTAATAACTCCCTCCTGTAGATTATCACAGTTTAAGTTATGTAGATTAAAAGATTATTATTTGAGTTTAAGTATCAATTATGCCCCTATTGGAATTAATCTGCTGAATTACAATTTCTACTCATTCTGCTGCATTTTAGAAAAACAATTCTCATTCTTCTCATACAAAGAAAGTCATTTATGATTTGCAATTGCTAAAGCTTGGTATTTAAGTCATTTTTCCCCCCACCTTCTGAAGGCAAAGCTCAGCTCAGTTCTTTAATTTTAACTGCTGCTGCCTTCTCATCAAGGTGGTTAGTTAATGGGTAGGGAATCCCTGATCCACTCAGGGAGTCCTGCAATTAATGTTGCCATGTCGAAAGGAGGTTGCCTATGGCAACCTTTTCATTTGCTTGAGTGCTTTTATGTGGGTTAATGATGAAGTATTGTCAAGGTGTATGTAGGATGCAAGAGCACTATCTGTTATAATGCAGCATAATTAAAAGTCATTTCTTCTCTCAAAAATGGCTAGTAATATTGCGTCTGAAGAAGATAGTGATGAAGCTGCCTGGCAGATCCCTGACCTCCTCTTCCTTTATTCATGTCAGTGCCTCGCAGCGGGATCCTCTGTACCAGGTGCTGTGCCAGCACTGACAAGTCTGAAGGAAAAACTATTGCTGATTAAAAACCTGTCTGAATGGAAACCCTGGAAAATAACCCATGGAGTACAACTGTGATCAGTTCCCACATGTGCACTC